AGGTGAACTTAGCTTGAGGTCGTAGGCTTCCAGGACCCCAAAGTCTTGTCTCAAACTGTCATGAAATTTGTTATGGAGCTGTTTTCGTTGTTTAGATCCGCTTACATGGGACGCCATCTGCAATGTGTCCCACAACTTCCAGCACTAAGTGCGATGCGCGGAAGTGCTGAATTTGAATTCTGGAGGCGGTTAAATTTTGATGCCGGGCGTAGATTCCTGGATCTGCAACCTTCCCTGCATCCTACAATCCTGCAACTAAAGCCCCAAAGCAACCTGAACCATAATAGGCCTTATAGTAGCCCTGAGTAGACCCCTTTGAAAACGAAACCTGTTCTAAGAATTCAGGCCCCTATACTAAGCCCTAAAATCTCAAGCTGTGAGCCCATAAACCATAGCCATGACGGATCATCCTCGTGGGCTGCTCCTGGGTACCTTGTAAAGTTTTGGGCATTGGGGTTTAGGGTTTAGGGTGTAGGATTAGGGCTTAAGGCTTAATTTAAGGTTTAGGGTTTGGGGTTCAGGGTGTGGGGTTGAGGGTTTAGGGCTTTAAGGGTTTAGGGTTGGAGTTTCAGTTTAATTATGCGTGGGGTTATAAGCAGGGTAACTAGACGTATATGCCATGTTGCAGGGGACTTATGACCCCCTTTGTAACTACCCAAGAACCTCGAAGTAAGTACGTCTATGGTTACCTTCCGTCTGAATTACGACTTACTGGGTTTAGGGTTTAGGGTTTAGGGTTCATGGTATTTCTAATAAAATGAAAAGCCCATGCCCTTCGTTTCATCAGGCTCTCGTCTAAGGTCTACTCTCGGAGAGTACTCTTGGCAACTGTGCGTCTGAACAGATACCTCCCTCGATGTATTTACACATATGTACATATATATATATATGTATGTTTATATATATATATACACATACATACATACATACATAGAGGTGTGGTAGATCCATGGGGGGTACCCTATATATACAAACGTATGTATACATACATATATATATATATACATATATATATATATATAAATATACAAGAGCCTCAACAGCTTCTAACAGCGACTCAGAACGAAGCTAAAACTTGCGGTTCAGGAATCAGGGGTTTAGAGGTTAGGGGTTTGTGACCCAGACTAAGGTCTTTAGCTGCCATTTCGGCGGTAAGGGAGGACTCTGCACAGTTGCCCCACAGTGCTCCGTGACGTACTACCCCGAAACCATCTTACATGTCCATCTAAAAGTAAATCTAAAAGTAAGGGTATTATCCTGAATTGAAGGTTGAGGGGCTTTGTGTTTACAAAATCTCTACATGCTGACAGAGGGTTCTTTGGCTCAGCTCAATCAGCCGCCTCCTTCAAGAAGCCTCTCTCCATCACTGGGCCGATCGTTTGGGCTACAGACATTTAATCGTGCTCGAAACGTGGCTGCGAATGTGCTGCTCTAGCCATTGTTGCTACTACTGCTGCTGCTGCCAGTACTGCTACGACGAAGACGGTAGCTACGAGGACGACGACTCCTCTTACGGCAACTAGTTCTAGACTTTCTGTTCATAGTGATGCTTATTTAGGCTTTCCACTGAGTGGCGATTAGCCTAGGAGCTAGTATTGTCGTATTGTCACCTATTGCCGTTCACGTCTCGGGTCTGCAAACGCATTACCTCTCTCAGCCTTATGGTCCTTATGGTACGGCTCTTGCTATAACTAGTCTTACGAATGTATTGCCATGACCAATATTGTCATTCTCACTACGGCTGCTGCTTCTCCATTCAGCACCCTTCCCGATATTGCGGTGTGAGGCAATAGAAGAACATGGAGGTAGTCTAGGTGGCAATTTGGGAAACTTTTTAAGTTCCCTTATGGTTCCTATAGAGGTACCTATTCATAAATACTTTTCAGAGCCCCAAAACTACAACCCAGCAGTTCATGATGCAGCGAATGCCCAGCCACGGTTTTTGGCCGACTCTCTCATCTCGATCCAGAGACGAGCAAGCTATCTGGGCAGCCATCACTGACACAAGAGCACCTACCAGCAATGTCGCCTCAAACCTGAACAACACCTTGAAACCCCTCTCCGATTACCATTCATTATCATACAAGTTGCCAGGATCCCGATTGAGTGCATGTCCTTACCTGTTACACAATCTGATGCTTGAATGCTTAGGAGCACGACACAGTCGTGTTTTCTTCCGTAAGCTTTGTCAACGGAGTCAACGGAGAACGGATCTCGAGGCAAGCCTGATCACCTGGTTTCTAGATTCAGGAAGTCATGGTGAGGGTGGACCACGGTGAGTCTTTGACGTCTCTGTCTGGCTCCCTCTAGAACCGTGAGTTGCTTTCTGCGACAGTGGGTTTTGGGCTTAGGGTTCACACCCAAAACCCTAAACACTGTAGGGCTAGGCAGCATACAGCAGGAAGTGCTTGTGCAAGAATGCCATGGTGGTCCTGGAGAGGGGACATAGGGTTCACTGATCTGCCCCAGTTTAGGCTGTGATTGTTGGGTGTGCGGCTTTACGATGTGCGTGGTCACATTGTCTTGTTGGACCCTGGACCTAGCATTCATGACATTTCGGAGGGTTCCTGCTCGAATAGAGACATACGGTCAGGGTGTTCAAAGAGTAGGTACCCAAACTAAACCCTTTAGAGGCGCCCCTTAAAGAAAGCCGAGCAAGCAGCCTTAATAAAGGAAGCACTGAATTGGAAGCCCTTAAAGGAGGCCCTTCACCCGGACCCCAGGGAGGATCTAGTTGGGGCCCCATACTACTAAGGGCACTTTATAGGAACCCACATTAAGGGATCTACTTTTTGGATCCTCCCGGGGGTCTGGGCAAGGAGCCCCTAAGGTTTAGGGTGTAGGAAGGAATAATTATCCACAGCTAGGTGGCAAGTTGGGCAACTTTTTAATTTCCCTTATGGTTCCTATAGAGGTACCTATTCATAAATACTTTTCAGAGCCCCAAAACTACAACCCAGACAAGAAGTGGCCTCCAGAAGGCTCGGCTCGTCTCGCATCTCGGGCTCTGATTTTCGCGGCCGCAACTGTGCTACTGCTACTATATACTACTACTACTACTACTACTACTACTACTACTACTACTACTACTACTACTACTACTACTACCACTACTACTACTACTACTACCACTACCACTACTACTTCTACTTCTACTTCTACTACTACTACTACTACTACTACTACTACTACGACTACTAGTAGTAGTCGTCCTCCTCCTCCTATTACTACCACGAATAATAAGAATATATGATAAATAATCACGGTAATAATGACAACAACAGTGCTTGTAATAGGAATGGCAATAGAAATAGTAATATTGATACTGATAGTGATGCTGTATACTAATACTACTACTAGTTCCAGTCCAATGCCATAATAGTAAGAATAATAATACAAATATTCAGAAAATGGTAAGAATCACCATACTTCAAACTCAGAACTGCACTTGTATATTCTTGTGTAGCGGCCTGCCTAGATATAAGGTTGAGCAAATTGCCGCAATGCGCTTCCAAGTTGTTGAGGACTCCAGACCAACACAGCGCAATATGTTTTGTTTTAACAGAGCCCGAACTAGTTATTGTAGATGAGGACGTGTTTTTGTGTTTGTTTGTTTGTTTGTTTGTTTGTTTAGCTTTCAGATGTTTGATCTGGTTGTTGTTGCTCGTTGCGTTTTGCAGTTTTCTTGCTGCTTGTTCGCTTGTGTTCTTGAGTGTTTGCATTTTGGCTGTTGCGCCTGATCCTACTATAGGTCTGATCTGCAGCTCTCATCAACCCTTTTCTCCATACCCTGCACTATACAAGGGCCTTCCTTCTCTCCATCCTTGGCCCTAAACCCTACTATAGGGACCTTAATTAGAATAGGGTGGTGAGGCCCATCATACTATAATGGTACGCAATAAGGAACCCGCAAAAATTATTCTCCACCCTGCATGCTTGGCCCTCAACCCACGCTACACCGCCAGGGCCTGTGATTTCTGTGCAACTTTCCCGATAAAACAACGATCACACGACACAAAACCTAGCTACGTCACGTCCCGACTTTCAGTCGGTAATATACGGGGCTTAATAACTACCTATATTACTTTGGGCGTTTCTCATTATTGACGCATTGTAGTTCTTGTATAATATACCCCAGAGCCCCTATATTGACTGAATAAAGCTCCGAAGCCGGACTCCGCTGGCAGACTGCTGTCAACGCAGCTACCTTTGGCGAAGTCTTCACCTCTCAGTGTCTCGAACCTTCTGCTCCTGAGCAGTACCCTTTTGCACTTTTTTGGTTTGGGGTCTCCCTATCAAGACGGAACAACGGGAAACATGGTACCGTTATTATCAAGGGGTTACTGAGGAACCTAGCACACCTGAAATTTGGGCTTCGAATTGTTTATCAGTGCAATCCGTAGGGCTCGCTAACGTAGTTATGGTACAGCGGTACAACAGAAACCCATAGCCCGAGTCTATTTCTCGAGGCTTGTGAACCCTAAATTCCAATCCCCCAAACCCACTGTAAACCCTAAGTACTCAAACGTTACCCTAAACCCTAAGCCCTAAACGCTCTAAACCTTAAACCCCCAAACGCCCAAATCTAGTGACGATTGCGTGTATCACTTTGTCAGCGGCCTCGAACCCGTGGTGCTGAGGATGCAAAACAAGCCAGGTTTCAGAAGGACCCGATGTGCAGTCCTTTAAGGTCTAAAGTTTTGGGGCATATTTCAAGTGTCGTTGTATTCAACATGTTTTTTTGTTTATGGTCGCCGTGAGGAATCTCTTGATGAAGTCTTTGTGAGGATGATGTTTCGTTATTGGGTCCTTCATTTTCTGAAACCCCCTGCATCCAAAAAAGCTGCTGGTTGGAGTCGGGCCACCTCTCGGGCCGAGGTCATCAGCATGAACAGCAAGCGCACAACAAATCAATCAATGAATTTCCCGTAGCAGAAGTCCTCATGACGGTCTAAACACTAAACCCTTCGCCCGAAGCCCCAAAACCCGCAGGCAGAGCAATGCTGACTGTTATGGTTGATGTTATTCTAGTTATCAATATGTGCACTAGGTCGCTAGGTCCTAAAACCTGACTACTGTAGATGCTAAAGGGCTCATCGCTCGACAATTAAAACAGGATTTTGTGATGTACTGTAGTCATGCTCTAGTACAATAAGTTCTATATGGAGGCTGGAGTAGGACTTTGGGATATGTCTAGTCAAGTTCTGTACGGGCCGCAAGGGGAATTTATTTCATATGATTAATCACCAAGTAATCAGACCCTGCGATAGGGACAACTGCCTACTCTGCACTAAACCCTAAACCCCTAAACCCTAAACCCCTAAACCCCTACACCCTAAGCCCCTAAACTCCTACACCCTAGGGGGCAGCCTCCACCAGCCTGCACGACTGCACGGAGACCTAAGAAGTCTATGCTCAAACACGACGCAACGAAAAGCGCTCCTGGAGGGCTTGTACTATAGGGGCCCTGAAGAATTACCTATACTATCTTGTGGGGTTCTTTAAAGGGATCCTTTATAAAGGGCACTATAAGGGATCTATGATAGGGTTCTATATAATAGGGGCCTTAATAACTATCTCGATTATGATGGGGGCTTCCTTGTTATAATTATAGTATAGTGGCCCCCACAACCCTTTTGTGATTATTTAGGCCCCTGTAGTAGGGTTTGCGGACACGGGACGGAGAGAAGGAGAGCTCTTGGATAATGTTCTGACGAATCAGCAATGCCATTCCCTTGGGTTCGCTTGACATGGCTGGTGTATGGAAGCCTCCACATTTGGTAATGTTAAGATCCCCTATCCCTAAACAGTGAGAACCTTGAAATCCTCAACTGGATCCAGAATGTCTTTATACAGGTGTGGATGCAAGTTATGCACCTCCATCTGGGTTGTATAAGTACGAGGATGCCCAGTACCCTTGTTCCTTTTTGTAGTCCTAGGTTCCTTATAAAAGTTACCCAATACCGAAAGGGGAGCCCTTTTTATTCCGAGGTTACTGGGCATCCTAGAGTAGTTGTCAGTTCGGTCAAGGTTATGGATGGGTGGTTGGATGGACGGCCGGATCGATCGATGTATTGATGCACGAGCGATGGATAGATGGACAAATGCGTAGACAGATCGATGCATATAGGTAGAGGCCTAGGACAGGATGTGTGGGGGTGTCTTGGTTTCTGAGACGTAGTAGTAGAGTAGGTGACCTTTAGCCTTTTCGGGATACTATAATTCCAATATGATCCCAAAGGTTAACCGTCCTTTCCTCAGCATACTGGACAAGTAGGGAGAGAATCAGAAGATTTAGTAAGTACATAAGGTTCTCAGCAAGGTGAAGGCTAGTTCGGGAATACGGATCCCTCATTCCATTAGGGCTATTAGGGCTATTAGGGCTTTTAAGGGTGTAGTTTCTGGCTTAATCCGAAGCCCCAAACTCTTGGCCCCTTCTGCTGCCCGTTGTCCTGCACAAGGTTCCTGGAGACTTTCCGGCGAGTGCAGGAGAATGGTGAGCGTGAAGACCGCCTCTACTATGTGGAACAAGCCAAGGCAGTCACTTCTAAGCTTACAATAGTACAAGACCTAAACTTAGTACGTGGACTCTTTGGGAGAATAATATGACTCCGCGATAGACCTGAAGAATGTTTCCTTGTTTGCATGAACTCAACAACTAAATACAGTATATCAGCGCTTTAAGCCTAAACCCAGCCCTGCAGCCTCGAACCCCTTAGCGCTAAATGCTTTCAGCTGAGGAGGCCCTGCAAACGGTTCGGGGTTTGGGGGTTTAATGTTTAGGGCTTACAATCTAATCCAAACCCCTAAACCCTAAACCCTAAAACCCTCAACAACTAGACCATGAACTGAACACAACCCGGAAGCCTGAAAAAGCCTGAGCCCAAAAGCCCCAAGCTCCACCCCACCATGGAAGACAGGTTCCCCTAGAACAGAACGACCAACCCCAAACGGCCTAAGCTTTGAAACGCAAACCCCCAAAGCCTAAACCCTCTAACCCGAACAGCCTAAATCTGAAAACCTTCAGCACCAGATGAGTTGGTCATGGCCACGACGGCCATGACATTTTGTTCAAGGTTCGTTCAAACAGATGGGGGCGGCAGAGGCCTCAAGAAGCAAAATCCAGTTCCGACGAGGGTAAAGGTTGCCGCCGTTGTAGTTGCCGTCCTCGCTAGCATGGCCTTGCCTGCTCAACTTCATTGTGCTCCAGAACCCATTATCATCCTCGTTGCCATCCATAGCACCAACGTCCAGCAACACGGAAAAGAAACACTGCCTAAACCCCTAAACCCTAAACCCACAGCGAAGAGCCAGAACCTGTCGGCAGGGCATGGTGCGAGAGAAGAAAACGATGCTCGGCGAGGGAAGGGCTCGACGGTCATCACTTAGAAACCGTTTACCCGAAGAGCACAGAATTACGTTAACCTTAAAGCAGTCCCTATGTGGGTACTTTGGGGCCAAAGTATGTGCTGTTTGGGTACATGGACCCTTACGGTAAGCTTTCGGGGCTACCTTGTTTTGCTGTGTCTGGGCCGAGCAGTCCAGGATATTGCTTGATGAGCACTGGTGCTTGCACTCCAGTTCAGGGTTTAGGCTTTCGAGGTTATAAGGTTTAGGGATGATGTCTTTGTATCTTGCACTTCCTTCGTATTTCTATGCACCGCGGGATTTCAGAATTCCTGGATTCTAACAAAAGGCTCGTAACAAATTGGCGCCTAGGTTTCTGACGCCCCGGCCTGTGGATTCTCAAGAACATTCACCCAAAGGGTCCAAAGCACCGACATGGGAGAATGTAGGGTTTCTATAACAGGAATTACCAGTTTGATTTGGGGAAGAATCCCCCATAACAGTACCTAGGATCCTTTGGGTCAAGAACTGACGGTCTCTTTTCACGGGGACCTTTCCAAACATTGAACCCTGCAATGGCTGCGACTGTCATTCTCGGAAACCCCCCTTTCAGGAGCCAGTCATTCTGTAGTTCCAGGGTGTATTTGTGTGTATACATTGATCTGTCTGTACATACACATGTATCTATATATTTGTCAAAATTATGGTCCCTTCTTGGGTCCCTAATATAATACGGCTCCTAATATTTTGGGTACCCAAGAAGGGACCCTAATTTTGACAACCACCCCCATATGTGTATATGTGTACATAGATATATATATATATATATGGTGCCCCCACCCCCCCATGGATCCACCGTTTGTTGGCTTCATGTACGCGCCGTCGACAACGTCGTCACACAGTTGTTCTTCAAGGGCCCAGGGCAAGGGTTTAGGGAGCCTAACTGAAAAACCAAACTGATAAAACCTGGCTGAGAAAAACCTAGCTGAAAAAACCTGACTGAAAAAGCCTAACTGAAAAAACCTAACTGAAAAAACCTAACTGAAAAAACCTAAAAAGCCTAAATCTCGAGAGTCTTGTCACGGATATCTCGCTGAAGGACTTCCAGAGTTTAGGTTTTTTTGTTTTTTTTGTTTTTTCCAGTTAGGTTTTTTCATTTAGGTTTTTTCAGCTAGGTTTTTTCAGTTAGGTTTTTTCAGTTAGGTTTTTTCCAGTTAGGTTTTTTCAGTTAGGTTTTTCCGTTCGGCTCCGGACACACTGTCTGAAGCTGTTTGAAGCCAAGTGCTCAGTTTACACATTCAGCGTTCTGTATTCTCGATCGGGCCATATGGATGCGGTGTTTGAGCGCGCGTCGTCGTTTCCCGACGAGATGATCGCAGAGATTTGAGACTTTACACGTCGTGTCTGGGTTCAACTTGTTTACACGATGCTGATGCTCATAATGCTTCCTAAAATTGGTGAAATCACCAACGGGTATTCAACACGATTCATAAAGGTATAAAAGGTTTCTATAATCTATGGGTATCTATATGAAGTTCTTTAAGATGTAAAGAAGGAGTATCGTGTAAGGTGTTCTTTATGCTCTTGTTTTTGATTTCTTCATTGGGCACATAGCAGGTGCAGCGCAGAGCATTCTGCTCCTGATTTTCCTCCCATTAATCCGTTATCTTTAAAGTATTCTACAAGGCATTCTATGGTGCATTCTACGGGTATGTTATAGAATATTCCATAGGGTTTTCCTTAGGACTATGGGGTACTCAGAGGGTATCATAAACATTGTGTATATTCTGTAAGGTACTGTAATCTGTAGGGGATTGCAGATGATATTCTACAAGGCCTATAAAAGGCCTAGTATGTAGCGTTGTTTTGGGCTCTCTATCGGTACTCCATAACGCATTGTGTAATAAGGGATTGTACAAGGCATCAACATGAACGTGAAGATTATCTTATAGAACGTATTCTATAACCTAATGTATAGGCTATACGGCTATAGGGTACTCAAGACGGTATATATGAGGTGTATAGGGGGTCTTCGATAACGTATTACCTAGGGTCACCTGTACGAAATTCTTTGAGGTTTGTGGTATTCTTTAGGTTATTCTCTTCGACTCCTGGATCACTCCTAGAAACCCCTTACCCAATAGGCTGCTTCTTTATGAGGGGTTCTCAGATCTTGGGCTCGTTGACAGGTTATCTATAGGTGTTCTTACTTCCCAAATACCTGTGGGGGTGTAAAAAGTTTAAACTTTCGCAATAAGATTACCTTATTAGGGGCCAAAAGTTGAAAAGTTTGGTTTTGAGCCACTAAGTGTTATATGGGTTCAGGGTATATATACTGTATACATGGACTGTCATGTATAGGGCCATATGGGCAGTCTGTAAGGTCTTCTATAGAGTATTCCAGACGGTCTCCCATGAGGCGCACGACATATAGAGGGTACTATGTGTTCCATAAAGTATTTTGTAGGGTACTCTACGTCGTATTCTGTAAGGTACTTTGGATATTCAGAAGATATACGGGCTATGACTGAAAGTATATGATAAGGTATTCTGGAGGCTCTAGGGTATTCAATAACGTATGAGGGTATTTTATATCAGTGAGGTTTCAAGATACATAGAGAAAATATTCCACAGGACATCCTCTATGATATTCTATATAGTGTCTTGTATAGAGTGTCCTATAGGGCATGTGTAAGAAAATGCGTGCGGTGTTATATGTTTTATGTAAAAAGGGCCATAGGGGCATTCTGTGAGGTCTTCTATAGAGTATTCCAGATGGTCTTCCATGAGGAGTACGATATATAGAGGGTACTATGTGTTCCATAAGGTATTCTGTAGGGTATTCTATGTCGTATTCTGTAAGGTACTTTGGATATTCAAAAGATATACGGTCTATGACTGAAAGTATATGATAAGTTATTCCAGAGGCTCTAGGGTATTCAATAAGGCATGAGGGTATTCTATATCAGTGCATTCCATATGAAAGGTTTCAAGATACATAGAGAAAGTATTCTACAGGACATCCTATAAGATATTCTATGTAGTGTCTTGTATAGAGTGTCCTATAGGGTATGTGTAATATAATGCGTGCGGGGTGTATCATATATAGGTGGTCTTGTATACGGTATGCGGTATGCGACAGGATATTCAGATGGATTTCTACAAGATATAAAAGTTATGAGAGTGGAATTTTGCAAAGTATTCCAGCATGTAATCTACAGGGTACTATATTGGTGAAATACAAGGTATCGAACCCTGAAAGTATCGGTAGATTTCGTGTTCACAGACATTATCTATGATCTCGATGCGTCTTATATATGGGAGGTGTAGAAATAGGGCCCTCTTTTCATATCCCTACTTGTCGTGATACTATGTTATATGGGATGACATATCTTTGCTTTCCTGTTGCGTGTTACCTTCAGAGCCCACATTGCTGCATGCAAAAACCTATACACACACAGAACATGCATGCAAGCTTGCATTCTTTTGCAACATGAGAAGAAGCCGTACGCGAATGTATGTCGCTTGGAAAAACTCAGGGTGTATATGAAGGAAATGCAGAATGTAGGATCTGCTTTTTTTTTTTTGATGCAGTCGAAGCGTATTTAGTGAAGGACTTACAAAGAGAAGGGAATACGTGATAGAATATCAACTATTTCTCAAACACACGAAAAAGGTGGATCCTTGAGGGGGGGTAGCATATATATATATATATATACACACACACATATAGATACTGCACTGGGCCGATAGTCCGACTAGCTCTGAACATGCTTGAACACCCAGCCCCCTCTTCCCAAGAGACTCCTCACACAAGTGAGCCCTCCTCCGGAACGTAACTAAGACTAAGAGGTACTATACTTTTAAGACGGTGTAGAAACTACTCCTCTAGGCTGCGTAAGGTGAACGACACTTTCAGATACTTCGCTACTCCGCAAGAGCCTGTATGTTCGATAATACACGCATAGCTCGAAACTCTCGGCCCGGGGGGGTATGTATATGTATATACAAGCATGAATTCACTCAGTTACCATGCACACACACACACACACACACTTTTTGTGGGTGTGCTTGAAGGCCTCTGTGCTTTCCTTCATGGTCTTATCCTTCGTGCACTTAAACAGGGACCTGCCCACAGCAGAAACAACACAGGAAGCAGTGCAAACTGCAACCCAGCCTTGCAGGTCTCCATGCTTAGCTATAAACTAACCATTGTTATTGGAGGAGCTAAGGAGCCAGGGATGATGATAGTCCCTCCTAAATAAGTAGCGAAAGAGCCAAGGCAACCCCAAAACCACTGGTTAGTAAAGGTTTGGGGTTTCGGGTTTAGTCTTTCATGCGTGGGCGCTTCAACTGGCTAAGGACACTGTACGTGGAAGCGAGCCACATTGCTCAAGACGCTTGACATAAAAACGACTGCAAGTCAAATGGTAGGGGGGGGGTTCAGAGTTTAGGGAGTAGAGCTTGAGAGGTTATTAACGGTTTGGGGTTCAGGATTCAGTTATGGAAGGGGCTCCATGTCAGAAGAAGGGATTCAAGGGATGGTCCGAGCCCGCGACGAACAAGCACAACACAAGAGCCCTTGAACCTGAACCCTTTAAGCTGCAGACGCTCGACTTGAATTCATGGCTTAGGGTTTAGTGTGCCCCGCCCATCATGCCGGAAATAAACCATAAGCCATAAACCCTTAGCCCTGAGCCTGAAGGGATATGAACAAGCCCTATAAACTCTTAGGGGCTTTAAATGAAACCCTTGGCCTTAGCCCCCAAGGATCCAGAATCAGACATCAGCCCTGAAGGTCACTTAAATTTTCAAACCCTGAACCCGTAAAGGATCCCATAACAGATCCCTTAAGGGTTCCTTTAAGGGTTCCTTCCAGGGTTCTTTGAAAGGATCTCTTGAAGGAACCCTTAACTGATCCCGTAAGGGTAAAGTTGAGCCTTCGGGCGTTCGGTGCAGAGCAGGAGCCTGAAGATGTACTACTTCTAAAGGGGTTTTAGGCTTGAGGGTTTGGGATTATGGGTTCCTGGGGATGATCATGATCATGGGTTCCTGATTCAGGAGTATTATAATTCTGACTGTTTAAGATTTAGGACTGTTATGTCTTCTAGTGTCGGAACCCTTCCTCAGTCCTGAATCTTGTGCAGTGTGGCTTTCGGGTCATAGGTGAACGCCAGTCGGTGGCACTTGGTGCTTCGTAAGTCGACGCCTACACCGAACCACAAACCTGAAACTTCGAACCTCAAATCCTCAAAAGGCCGAAACCCTACTTGGAGGGTCGGGGGACTTATTAAGGAGGTAGTAAGTAGACTTATAAGTACCCTAATTGGGGTTATGGTACTTATAAGTCCCTACAATAACCAGTTACTAAGTCCCCCGACCCTCCAAGTAGAAACCTACAACCAAGTGTCTAAATCCCCAAGCCCTGAAAGCAATGCATCTTCAAAGAGGGCCATTTAATGTTTGGGGTTTAGGGCTTCGGGCAATCTTAGTTCGAGGGAAATACAGAGGTTGAGACAACAAGCCATAGTTTTCAGAAGGTTGCTTAGCATAGCTACCGTAAAGTTGCCCCACGATCCTGTTTGAATCATAAGGCCCCTTGCATGAACTCTTAGCTTACCTTTGGTTAGTAGGGAATGGAGGAATGGAGTACAATTCTAACTACTATTACTACCATTCTTCCATTCCCTACTAACCAAAGGTAAGTTAGGTCCAGAAGGGTTCTGTTGTCCAATTACGGTTTGTGACTGAAGTTTAGTGGTTCAGGGTCTTCGGGCTAGAGCAATGATCCCGGGTTTAGGGTTTAGGGTTTAGGGGTTTAGGGTTTAGGGTTTAGGGTTTAGGGATTCATCCCATGTCGCAGTGTTTCGAGCGGTGTCTACATCTGGATTCCTGCTTTCTGTCGTGCTCTCTGTCGTTGTAGATTCGGATGGTAGAGTGATGTTTCCATGCATTGCAGGCGGCCTTTAACATTGTAGCCCACGCCTTGTGAAATCGTGCGTCTACATGGGGAATAGCTGGTTAAGATGTATGTAGATGTGCGGTTGTGCCGTGATGTCGTTGATGTTCGTGCGGCCCATGTGCTCCAGACATCGAGCACAGTGGCTGGTTTTGATGTATCCCTAAGGGTTCATGTACCCAAACAGTATATACTTTGGCCTTAAAGTACTCCCTATTTTGGTACACTGGGCCGATCTCTGAAGCGGGTGCTTGAGAAATCGGGCGACTACTACCCTAAACCCTAAAACTCTACAACCCTAAAGCCTAGCACCTTAAAACCCTAAACCCATGTGCTGATGTGTGACCCCAAAGGAGTCTCCCACGTCACCCTGTTTCAGCTGTGCTCCAAGAAGATGTGACGTTTCCTTAAACTCCTCCCAGTGTACCCTAAACCCTAAAACCTAAACCCTAAAACCTAAAGCCTAAACCCTAAACCCTAAACCCTAAAACCTAAACCCTAAAACCTAAACCCTAAACCCTAAACCCTAAACCCTAAAACCTAAACCCTAAAACCTAAAACCTAAAGCCTAAACCCTAAACCCTAAACCCTGAAACCTAAACTCCCCAACCCCTACAAGCCTTAAACTCCTCCCCGGATTCCTCAGCAGCCCAAGGCCCTGATCTCCTCAACCCTAATCCCCTAAACCCATACCTTACAAAACCCTAAACCCTAAACCCTAACCCTGCTTGCCCCGTAGGTGTGGCAGGTGACTGACTGGATCAGCGCGAACCAGAAAGACGCCAGTGCACTTTAAAAAAAAAACTAACCCTGGGGGTTGGTGGCCGTAATGCCCATAATTATGCCTCAAGACGGCACGGTTTAAGGAACTGTTGATGATAGAAATCCTGCATGACCTTAAGGACCCTAAACTATGGGAATTATAGTATATTCCTTATTATGGGTAATGCAGGATTTATATCATCAACCGAAGTATAGTCCGACTACGATAAACCATAAAACCGCTTCGCCCTAAACCCTAAACCCTAAACCCCTAAACCCTAAACCCTAAACCCTAAACCCCTAAACCCTAAACCCTAAACCCCTAAACCCTAAACCCTAAACCCTAAACCTTATTCAGAGACCCGAGGCCGATTCGGATGTGATTAACTTCGACCCCCTCGACCTGGCACAGGCGGGCGAAAGCTTTAGGGTTTAGGGTTTAGGGTTTAGGGGTTATGGTTTACGATTTAGGGTTTAGAGATAGATGATTTAGAGTCTGGGGTTGGAGGCTTAGGGCACTGGGGCTCAGTCTAGGTTTTTGTTGTGCTGTTGGTATGTGTCGGGGGTTGCGTGTGGGGTTATTAGCTAACCTTTATCTTAAGGGTTTGATGATTGAGATGTTGCAACTTTTCCAGCTTCCACTGTGGAGAGATTCGCTCAAGATTGAAAACTTGGGTTTGGTGGCCGGGGTTTTCAGATTTTGTGATTCAGAGGCTAATTTGGGATGCTCTTCTGCGGGTTGTGGCCCAGCTTGGAAATTGGTCTAGCCCTAGGTCTTGGGGAGTGCAAGCCAGTGTAAGCTTACACCGTTAAACAGGAAACCTAAAGCCTAAAAGCCTAAACAGTAAAGCCTCAAGTCTAAACCGTAAACCCGAATAGTTTTCCCTGGAGGACCTGGTACCTTGCTGTGGTGGAGACCTCTAGTTTCCATTGTAGTTCCTTCTCCTTTTTAAACAAAATTTACTTAATAAAGTCCCAACCATAAAACTGGTCAACCAAGGGAAGGAACAGCATCAATTTACGGAATCCTTTTGCGAGTGGGGGTCCAACACGAGGGGGGGGAATTGGCCCAGTAATCTCCGATTCTCCTTAGTGTTCTTTAAAGTCCCTACAAGGGGTGTTGATAGTGTTGGAGCCTGCAGATTTTAGGGTTCCGTTTTTATCGTGTTTCCGGTTTCAAAGCCCACAACAAATACCCGGTCCAGCCTTGTGTCTTCGGGCCCCTTGCTTGCCGATATCGGGGGATGGTGCTCGGGGATCCCAACTCACTCCAAACTTGTGGACGCCCTCTCCTAAACCTTAAACCTTAGACCCGAAACCCTAAGCCCGAAACCTCAGACCCTAAACCCTAAACCCTGGGCCCTGAACCGTATTTGCGCTTAGGGTTAGAATTTAATTTCGTGTCTGGCTTCGATTCATGCCGGGCTTCCGGGTGAAAACTTATGCAGGTTTTCCGGCCACGTGGGAGTTTCCGAAAGAAGGGTACCCTATTTGGAAGTCCTTTCCTACTATCTACTAGTAGGGTACTATATCAGGGTCCCCTTTTTCGGAAGCTCCCATTTAGTGCAATTTGGGACCGCTCCACGAAGTCGTTTGTGAATGTGGCCTTGAGGTCATCCAGACGAGATACATGATCGTCCGGGATGCTATCAACGCCCCTCCACCTTCTTTAGATGAGCAGGGTGCTCCTCCTTCTAAGTTTGCAAATACATTAGGTCAACCATGAGATTCACATCATTATTGCAGGAGTCATCGCTGAAACTTTGACCCAAACTTCTGGCAGCATTGTGGATTGTAAGCCAATGCTCCTGTGACACCGGCAACTCAGGCCGCAACCCGAAAGCGCAAGGCATAGATGGAACGCCTACACCCCAAAGCGATCACCCCAGATCCCTAAACCCCGTATTGACCCCAAGGTCCACAAAATAGTCTGCCTGTGCGAGCGTTTGAGATTCCGAAAAATGTCGTACCGCGCGAGTTTCTTTCACCAAGAGATCTGCAGACCTTGACAATGCCGGAAGGGTGAGAGTTTAAGCTTTAGGGGTTCAGAGTTTAGGGTTTCGGGTTAGAAATTTAAATACAAGAAAGTAGCAGCGCCTTACCACACTGTGGTCCGCTGCAGAAGCAGCAGTCATGAGAATGAAGTGGTAGCTTGATTGTAAACGATTGGGTTGCCGGCACGGGGTGCAGAGTTGAAGCGTTAGGACAATGCATGGACCTTTGAAGTAGAAGTGGGCTTCGGGCTACACGATGACAACTTTCGTCATTTTTGCTCTTCATGCTCTTACGATTCAGGAACCCTTTAAATATTACAGGTAATGATTATAAGGCCCCTATATAAAATTGATTTGAATTTAGCAACTTGGGGCCACACTCCACCTCATGCATACTTCGAAGATGTGACTAGGACTTGCCCAGAGACCAATGTCCCTTAATGCAGGAATATACTTTAAACCATCATATCAAGGCCACTATAATTTATATTAGGTATCTTCTTCGATGAGGCTCTCTGAGTGGTCAAGCGGAGATCCTTTTCAGTGCCCTTCGCCGGTCCCAAGTCGAGTCCACGCGCACTCCCCCCTTCGGAATCCGAAAGCCTACGAGAACTGGAGGCTCATGGGTAGTTATAAGTGGTGCTAAAAGTTCCATGGTATGTGTTGCACAACAAATCTAGATAATATATATATATATATATATATATATATATATATTTGTTCTATTTTCAACTATATGTATAAGTATATACTCTATATGTATCTATAGAGAGAGTGAGAGATAGATAGATGGATAGATAGTTCCCTGCTTGTAACCCCGCACATAGTTAACTACCCATGAACCTCCCAGCAGAACCAAGGCAGCTGTTCCTCAGCTCCTGGCGAACATGGACGACCAAGATGTTCAAGCCGAGGTGCGCGGTGAACACTAAGACCTGAAATAGCCTAAAGGTTCACTACTTCTGTTGCTGCACGGTTTAGGGTTTAGAGTTTTGGGTTGCTGCCATTTCCACTGTAACTATTGCCAGTGTTTCTGCTACTGCTGCTAGCTTGCACTGCAATGTTTGCTGCCGCTGCCACTAACACCCCACAGGTTTAGAGCTCCGAAACCCGAAACTATCAACCCTGAAGCCCGGAACCCCTCAGATTTCTGTCCGGTTGCCGCGAGTCTCCACACCTTACTGGGCAGCAGCTCGATGTTTCAGCGGTGCTAAACTCAGCAAGGTTGACCGGAATCATAAAGCAACTTCAGCCCATGCAGGTGGCAAATAGGAATGGTGCTTTCCCCCGACAAGACAACCGACACAGCCAGTACCATCAACACGGTCACCATGTTAATGTTCATCGTCGCATTTGGGTCGCCTAAATCATCACCGCCATCATCATCATCATCATTATCATTATATTCTTCATCTTTTTCTCCTTCTACTGTATGAGAAGTGACAAGGGGTATTCTGAACGACTTCAGCGCGTGCCAGGTAGCGAAGGTGGATGAGCTTCTCGGCAGTTCTTCTTGCAGGAAAGTTTGACATGCGCAGTGTCCATGGTAGCGAAGCAAGCCGAAACTGGCGTCATCAAGCAGCCGTCATGTGCTTTAGATGAATGACTCCTGCACGACTTTCATTACATAAGTTGCAGCAACCTTCGCTCGCAAACCTGGACCTCTGGACCTTTGCAGCCAAACCCTGACAGAGACCTGCCTCTAAATCCCCACTCCCTGACACCCGCTGCTTGGCACAATTTTGCACCCTGGAATCGATTGGAAGCACAGTCGAGAGAGAGAGCCCGTTTGAGTCAAGACGTTCCCTAAGGCTCAACATAGCCCAAAAGCCTCATATAGTATGGTCTTTGGCCCCAAAAGCCTCATAATATGAGTCCTTAGAGAGTTTCTTGAACAAAAATTGCTTTTCCTGAAATGAAAGTCAAACGGAAGTCGAAGACCGCCGCTGAGCCGTTTTGCCTACAGATCCTAAATGGGGGTCTCCGAAAATGGGGGACCCAAATACAGTACCCTAAATGGTAGGATCCTTATTATAAGGACTCCCAAATAAGGTACCCCTAACTTTCGGAAACTCCTAGATTCCTAAAGCCCAAGCCCTACAGCAATACTATTCTGAAACTCCTCAGAACACCCTTTACAAGCAACGCAGCTTCACCCCAAACCCTAGAAATACAATCCTTAAGCTGTAAGGATCCGTATAACACCCTTAACTTAAAACCATGAAATGTCCGCAGGGCACAATTGAAAAGCCAACGTAAATATCATGAATGTCCTTCGAAGAACCCAGCGTAGCTATCGTACAGATCCTTCTCGGGCACCCTTCGAAAAAATGTCTGAACCCCAAGCCCTAAACCCTGAACCGAAACCTTAAGGTCCTAAACCCAGAAAAACCCTCAACCATAAACCCTTAACCCTGAACCCTCAGGCTCAAGTACGTTGTGGCCTTCTGCGACAGCGGAACTGACCAGTTCACTGGCATCCGAGACCTCCGCACCGAGACTCTGGGAAGGCCCTTTGCTCTTTTCTAGGTAGGGCTTTGGGACATTTTATATTTTCCCTTATTGGGCTCTTGAGGATCTTATTTATTAATATTTTTCAAAGGCTCTAAAGCCCCACCTAGTTTTGTTTTTGGAAGGGGTGGGGGGGGGGGGGGGGGGGGTGGTTGGGTTTTGGAGGGTAGAGGATAGGTAGGGTTCAGGATTAGGGCTTTAGGGCTTTGTGGTCTCAAATGCGGCCGTCGGAATAGTTAGTAACTGTATCCCCTTGTATGATAGCGTGTGTATGGAGTCTTCTGTATTATATAGGTGATACGTCTTTCGAAAGCAAGACTCTGCTGTGCACGATGTACGCCGTATGCATTTACTTATGCATGTGCGTATGCATGCATGGATGCAGGCAGGTAGGTACGTGCAGGTATGCGTAAGTAAGTGTGTCTGTCCATAGACACAGAGCAACAAGGTGTCTCAGAGTCTCAAGTCTTGCTTGCATCCTTTTGTCTCCAGACCTGCCTGCCTTTCCAGATTCTGCCTTGCAGCTTGGGGTTTGGGCTCCGGGGCCTAACTGCCTCGGCTAATGTATCTCAGGGTTTAGGGTTTGGTGTTTAGGGTTTGGGGTTCAGGGTTTGATGTGTCCTTCGATCGGTGCGCACAGGTCTGTGTAAGTGTGTAAGTGGCAGTATTATCTGTTGATCTACAATATCTGTCTATCCGTCTATCTAAATACATTTAACATGCCTGTGTGTATGGGTGTAAAACATATCTCTTTACATCCAAGCCATATGCAGGTGTGTGTGTATGTATGTATATATATATATATATATATAGGAGCTTCCGAAAACAGGGGACCCTGATATGGTACCCCAAATAATAGGTATCCCCCATTTTCGGAAACTCCCATATACATAGATATGCATATGCAAATATGTGTGTGTATGACCATGGTTGAGGAGACCTGGTTGGGCATGTTCAGTGAAGCCCCAGCAACCTGCCAAAAAAGAGGACCATGAGGATGATCTGTGGTGGCATGTTAGGTGTAACTTTTAATTTAATATAACACAAGAGAGTATAGTACCGTATCATAAAACCTGACAGAATCTCTTATATGATAATATGATCTACCGCTGCCTCTTCAGCCCGACCTGGCTCCGCTGGGTCCAGGCTGGTGACCATCTGCGGCACCGTCACGCGCACTACGGACTCTCGTCCCAACTGCTCAGCGCAATGCAAAGAACTATCGGCTGAGCGAGCAACAGCTTTTTTTAGGGGGCGGAACGTTTATCCCCATGTTATCGTGGTGTCATATATATATATATATAATTCGACGGATTAATCTTGCTCCAGGGATTTTAATCCCTTTCGAGGTCCTAGGCAACCATACTTTACATACTACAGAAGGCCGCTAACGCGCCTATAATAAGCATTGCACGGCTAGCGTGAGATTTCGTGCGGATAACTGGTTTGGGGTTTTAGGGTTTGGGGTGTAGCAGCTGCATCGTTACCACAAGCAGCGATTTCCTGCGTTGCCACTTTCAATGCGTGCTGTCAGATGCTGTTATGAGGCAGCAAATCTCGACCGGCGTCAGTCATCAGCACCAAATACTGTAAGACGACATGAAAAGAGGTGTTGTCAGTAACTACGGTTGCGACAAGAAACAACAGCAGCAATGAATCGTCCGCAACAGAATGATAGCTAACCGGCCTAGCATCAGAGGACTGCCATGTCTCATGGATCGTCCGCACAGAACAAAGAACCCTATGCTATAATTATGAGTATTATTCTTAGTATTAATATTTGAATCAATATTAGTATTAAGATAAATATTAGTATTAGTATTATTAAGGCCCCTAAAGTATCCTCAACCCTGGAAGATGCGAGCAGAAACCGTGTGTTAAAAGGGCTTCAGGGCATTTAGTATGGCCCTGGCCCTACTCGGGGGGACTTAGTAAGTAGGTAGTAGGTCGACTTATTAGTATACTAACATGGACCCTAATTGGGTTTATGGTACTTATAGGTCCCTAAAATTACCAGTTACTAAGTCCCCCGACCTTCCAAGTAAGCCTTACCTGAACTCCAAGATACGGTTGATGCTATAAATCCTGCATGACCCATAATAAGGAATATACCATTTTTTCCAGAGTTTAGGGTCCTGAAGGGAGTGCAGGATTTATATCATCAGCGGTATGTACAATAATGGCATTTTGTAGGTGCGGGGCCATTATTTTAAGTTTGGGGTGGTTTTCGTAAAGCTTAACCACCATTCTAAACTGTTCCCGGGAGGGCCCGACTACTCCCCCTAATAGGACCCTTAGGGCTTGAAGCCTCGACCCTTAAACCCCAAACTACACTAGACCTTAAAGCCTAACGTCCATTCCAAACTCCTGAAGCCTAGGATATCAAGCCAGAGTTGCTGGTCGCTTCTTGGCAGTGCGGCGATTGCAAGCGAGAGGCGGGGATTTCGAGTTGAAGGTTTAGGGGTTTAGAGTTAGGGTTTAGGGTTTATAGGGGTTGAGGGTTTAGGGTTTGCGAGCTGTTGGTTTGGTTTTCGAGGCCTGGGATCAATTGGGTCTTTCGCATCTCAACGCTTCGGAGAGGGGGACTTTTTTGGGTGTTTTGGGGAGCTAAACCTGGCGAGGCCTTTGGGACATTTGGTATTTTCCCTTATTGGGTTTAACATGACCCTCTTTGCGAATATGTTTCAGAGGCGATAAAGGGCCAACCTAGAAACTGCAGAAGGGGAGCATGGGTCCCGGATCATCCCTAAACCCTACCTGGCCCTAAGCATTTTGCTTCGAATATTTCTGCATTTTTTCTCCAGACTCTTGGTATCAAATTATGAAATCTCCTACTTGGACACCAGGTGAATGGAAATCACTCTCTCCATGCTTGGAGGGTCGCGGGACTTAGTATCTGGTTTTTTCGGGCCTTATAAGTACCACAATCCCAGTTAGGGTCCCTTTTAGGGTACTTATACGTCTACTTACTACCTACTTACTAAGTCCCCCGACCCTCCAAGTAAGTTCTGTTCTTCACACTCCGCGAGCCCTTTGTAAACCCCAAACTTGGACCCTAGGCACCCTACATTAATATTGAGGCCTCAGTAATAGCAATTACAAAACTGTTCTGGGGATTCCTTATTATGGTTATAGTACAATGGGCCCCAAAACCCTATTCTAAATATTAAGGCCTCTATATTATAGCACCCTTATAGTACCCCTTATGGTAGCCCCTACAGTCCCCTTTAAAGGAACCCCTAAAGGAACCCCATTAGACATCCTATATTAGCTGTGAGGTTTGAGGCTTTGGAGCTGGGGCTTCAAGCCCGTTGATACCCGGGGTTTAGGGTTTAGGGGTTTCAGGGGTTTTAGGGTTTAGGGGTTTAGGGTTTAGTGTTTAGGGTTCTGGGGTTTTAGGGGTTTTAGGGGGTTTAGGGTTTAGGATTTAGGATGAAAGTGCAGTCTCCTTAAGAATTATCTTTTTTATTTGCTCATATCAAACCACAGAGAATATCGGAAAGAGTATTTTGATTATGGTCCCAAGGGTGGTATAGGAAGCTGAAGTGTGACATGAAGTTCTGAGTAGCCTGAGCTCTCTAGCATTAGCTTGACCTACCTGCTACCTTAATCCGTAGCAGATTAGTGCTGCGCATTCTGGCTTAAGATATACAGGTCTGTGTGATTTGTAAAGCTTGCTGGCATTACCCATAAACCCGTAGTAGTTCCTTTGTGGGGTTCATATACAGAAATCTATATGGTAATCCCCAAAAAGGAACTACTATGGGGCCTGTGGGTAGTGTAAGCCCTGATGGCCAACGCTGAAAGTCACGCTTTAGGGTTACGGGTTTAGGGTTTATAGCTTCCAAACATAAGACAAGAACTCTGCAGCATCTAGCCTGCGCCCCTAGGCCCTAGACCCTCTCTCGCACTCAGTTTCAGCTCATGTTTTTTGTTGCTTGATTCCCATGGTTCTTGGTAGTTCGAAGCCCCAACCGCCAACTCTAAACCCCACCCCCAAGAGCTCAACGCTTAAACCCGGAAGCCCAAAACCCCTGCATCTAAACCCCTCGTGAGTTCCTCTTCCTCTCGGTCAGGTCAGTGGAATCAAGCAGGCGGGGGGGGGAGGGGGGAGGGGAAGCGGTGCCTTGGGGGATTAGGGTTTAGGGTTTCGGGATTAGGGTTTGGGGATTAGGGTTTAGGGATTAGGGTTTAGGGTTTAGGGATTAGGGTTTAGGGATTAGGGTTTAGGGTTTAGGGATTAGGGTTTAGGGTTTAGGGATTAGGGTTTAGGGGATTCCCCCACTCAGTAATAGTTGAATAGTATTCATAATATAGATATTTTAGGGTTGAGGGGTTGAGGTGTGCTGACGGTATTGTAAGTAGTAGGGCTTTCAGGGTTTCGAGGAACTGGCACAAGCAGCAAGATTTGTGAAGCTTTCAATCACGCGGATTAGCGCTTCAGGATTGATTGGCAGGCTTGGTAGCCAACATACCTTGACAACTAGCGACTGATGCTTGTTCCCTTTCGGGCTTAGGCTTAGCGGTTTCTGATTCCTTTTACGTGGGTAGTTCTCGAAATTAGCGTCCATTGTTAGGTCCGCAAATATAGTACGGCACCCTTACATAAACAACTGCAATTAGAGGGACCCTAATTTCGAGACCCAAGCTCACGACCTTTCAAGTAGTCCTAAAAGCCTGTATAGAACCGTTCCAGATCCCTTGAAGGAGTCTTAATTTAGAGAGCTATCCATGCCCAAAGGGTCCTAGGTACTGTTATGGGGGATACGTCCCCAAAGCATAATGGTAATTCCTATTCTAGAAACCCTACATTCTCCCATGTGGGTACTTTAGACCCTTTTAAAAATGTTGCTTTGCAGGAGTTCAAGGTCACGATGCCAGCGCTTTGTCCTTCAAAGCACTGCGGGAATCAAACGCAGCTTGGAGCAAATAGGAGTTTCCGAAAATACAGGTACCTTTTTTTGGCGGCCTTATAATCAGGATCCTACTATTCAGTGTCCTATATTAGGCTCCCCTATTTTTCGGAAACTCCCAAATAGGCCTTGCAGGGTTTAGGGCAGGAATTGGGATTGAGGCTTAGGGAGCATGTACGGATATGTGTGTACACGTATGTACCGGTTTAATCATCAACAGTATAACTCTCTCTCCCTCTCTCTCTATGTGTGTGTATATATATATATATATATACATAGAAGCATGCGCACGGTGTGCGATGGTAGGTGTCGCAGTGTCGCAGTAGGCAAGCCATGGCGCATGGTGAAGTTGCAGCATGCCTCCTGTCTATTACAAAACTTTCGTTGTTCGCAACATCCTCATTCCTAATGTAAAACCCGGACTGATACACCAAGTTAAACCCTAAACCCTAAACCGCCTAAACCCTATAAACCCTAAACCCTAACTCTTTGAAAAGCCTGAATAATAGGATCCGTTTGTTCCTTATCGGGGGTGCGGGGTTTCGCAACCAGCGGACCGGCGTACAAATGCAAGTGCAAGCAGAATCCTAAACCGTAGACCTCAGAAGCTGCCCCCACCCTGTAATACGGTTGATGATATAAATCCTGCATTACCCATAATAAGGAATATACCATAATTCCCATAGTTTAGGGCCCTTAAGGTCATGCAGGATTTATATCATCAACCGTAGTGGTATAATAGGAATATAATAGGGCCCTAATATAATCCTATATAATCCTTATGGTAACTATTACAGGGTGGGGGCCCCCTTCTAACCTAGACCCTACTTGAGGTCGGTTTCGGGGTGAAGGGGAGTTTGGGTTTGGGGGGTTTATGGTTTAGGGTGGTTTTTCTGCGGCGACCCCCCAAGGAATTGGAAGCTCCTGCCCTACTCCCGCTCGACGCGATGGGGGGAGTGGCAGCGCATTCGGCTACAGGAGAGCGATGGTTGACTTGGAGTTGAATATTCCCAGACCTTCCAAAATCCCTTAATTAGGGAATATACCTTAAATTATAGTAGGATCCCTAGTATGATTTAAGGTATATTCCTTAATTAAGGGATTTTGGAAGGTCTGGGTTAGGGTCTGGGCCTAGGGCTTACAAGATTTTTACACTAGAAAACTATGGAATGAGAGGCTTCATGAAGCTTGCAACTGTCGTGGTCGAGGGCATCCAATGTAGTCTTGACCGAAAGGAGCGAATTCAGGCTGTGTCGACCTAATTTCTCAGCGTCGACAAACCAAGGGGGGGACAAGAGTTTCCAAAGCTTGAGAAGTGCGTTTTCGGATGGGTCAAGTGCTGTTTGTTGCGCGTCAAGATATCTTTTCACTTTCACCGGTATGGGGCACTTGCACATGCTGCGCACATTCGTCGGCACTTTCCGTAATGATTAGTATTCGTTGCAGCGCAGGGAAGGGCCCAGCAACTGTGATAAACCAGACATCTTGCTGCATGCATGTGAGTGGTTGTCAAAATTATGGCACCTTTCTGGGTGCCCTAAATAATAGGTGCCGTATTATAATAAGGACCCGAGAAGGGACCCTAATTTTGACAACCACCCACATGAATCCTTTCACTTTGGGAGTGATGCCCAACGGTGTCCGTAGAAGCTTCCTACTAGAGGGGCCTTAGTAACTAGAATAGGCTTTTGGAGCCCATTATTATACTGCAAGTGTGCCCGTACAGGAGAACGAGAACGAGATCCCGGCAGGCACACCGCATGTTTTTGCAGTTTCCGCAACTTAGAGTAAAAGTTTTTAGGGCTTGAAGGGTTTAGGGTCTCTTCGTGCAGGAATTCGGGTGAAGGGATTATGGCTTCATGGGTTTGGGGTTTAGGTCTTAAAAGGGTTCAGCGATTAAAGGCTTTACAGTAAACCCCTTGAAGTTGGAAACCGGATTAAGGCCAAATAGTGCTGGGATTCCCCATGCATTACTCTTCAGGACTGAGGCTATTGGGTTTCCAACTTTTCGGCTTCTACATTAACGTTTTGTACCCCTTGTCTTACAATCCCAAAGGGTCCTAGGTACTGTTATGGGGGATACTTCCCCAAATCATAATAGTAATTCCTTTTCTAGAAACCCTACATTCTCCCATGTAGGTACTTTGGACTCTTTGATCGCGACTTTGTCATCATTGCGCTTTGCGGTCACGACTGCGCAGGAGAGTAGACTAGAAAGCGTCTAAACTATCTGGCAGGCTCAAGGCCCCCGCTGGTCCGGAAGGTGAATATGGGAGTGAGTTTCCGAGAATAGGGGATCCTGATATATAGTACCCCAAATAATCGTATCCTTATCATGAGGATCCCAAAATAAGGTACCTCAAGTTTCGTAAACTCCCATATGCGTTCATACTACACCGATAGTAGCAGTCGCAAGGACGACAAGACAGGAGGTGATAGCAGTGCCACAGCTGGTTGTACTAGTGCTTAACAAGCAGGTTAGCAGCAGCATTGAAAGGCATACTGGAAGGCACGCATGCGCATGCCTAGACCCCCTCAACTATTCTCTAGAGAGCCCCAAATAGCCACTATTCTTGACCCTGAGGGCTCTATGAAACAGCCATGGGGGGGGGGGGTCCTGGTGTGTGTAATGGCAGAATCGAGAGTAAAACTTCCTCACCAAGAGAGCCCCTGCCTCGCAAAACAGGAGATTCGTAATGATTACCGTATCCGTAGCCAATGTAGATCGCCAGGGTCGTGATCTTGGTAGCTGAGTAGGTAACCTTTAAGCTTCTGAGGTTTATATATTCCTATCATGATTGAGACGGTTAACCTTTTTGGGGCTATGGTACTCAGCCCCTGAAGCGACAGTAATATTAGTAATGTCAAAGGCTCGATGCCCCTGACCATGGACGTGATTGTTCGGGACGAATGCACAGAGATGTGCAAGGCGCCGTGTTTCCGGTTGAAGCTTCCTCGAAGTTGTGTAACATAGGGACTTAAAAATTACCTACACTATCTTCGGGGTTCCGTATTATGTTTATCGTATAATGGGCGCCCAAACCCTAATTATTCAAATTGTTAAGGCCCCTGTACAGTATTATTAGAACATAGTAGTCGTAATAGCAGATGATAGTTGTAGTAGTAACCGGATTGTAATGGCAAGGATGCAGTCTCAGCAAAGGCCATCCCAAACTCTGCAGACCCTTACCTCGAACTTTGAACCCGAGGCCGTAAACTACGGCCGCCCTGACGAGACTGGTAGCGAAAACTTGTCTATTATCTATTATCTTCCTGGAATTCTAAACCTCCATGGAACCCCTGTAGAACGTTTTGTAGGCCCCGGACAGGAGCCCACCCACCA